GACGGGGCTGGGGAGCGCAGGCAGGGCGGGGCGGAGCCAGCGGGTGCGCACTCCCCGCCTAGGGGAGCGGGAGGAGACAGCTGGTCCTGCCCAGGACGCAGGGCAAGTACTGGGAGCAGGGGCACGGGACCCTGTGCCCACACGCAGGGCAGCTCTCCGGGGCCTCACCTCACGCAACAAAATAAGCGCTTCCCTCCACATTAGGCCTTGTGATTATATATTTTATTAGAAGAGGAACATCAACAGTTCCTCAAATTTTAAAAAAAAAAGTACAAAACTACATACAAAAGGAGATCAGACGACTAAACTTTCCCGACTCAGGGCCAAGTTCTGCAAAGGAGAAAGAAAGAAAAGGGTGTGTGAGCTTAGGGCTGGAGAGGGTCCAGGAAGGCAGGCCAGGGAAGGCTGTCCACTCACCTTCTTGAGCCTCCGCTCCCGTGAGGCCTGGGAGTCGGTCTCAGAGTAAGGGGGAGGCGCTGGGGGGTAGTAGGCGTCCTCTTCCTCCCGGTAAGGTCTCCTCTCCGCTGGCCCCTTTCTCCTCAAGGCCTCTTCCAGAAGCCGACCATCATATTGGGGGTCCGGGTCCCTGGACCTCTCGTTCCGAGCATCCCGAGCGCGGTGGGAGCGGTTCCTAGGGTCAGCACCAGGGCGGTCTCTAGACCTGAAGTCATCGAAGTGGGGTTCCTGGGAGTGTGGAAAGCCCCTTGGGTCCTCTTGGTCGTAGAGGTCATCACGGCTGCGGCTTCGGGGGTGCGCATAAGCTCGGCCTCTCTTCCCACTATTTGGGGGAGACCTCCTCCCTGATTCAGCAGAGCCTGGCCGCGTGAGGTCATCCAGAGCATCCACAGAGCGAGCCCGGGGACGCCCGGCCCCCCAGCCACTCCTGGGCCGTTCTGTGAGGGGCTCTTGCTCCCACCTCCTTGGACTCCGAGGGGAGTGGCGACCCCATTCCTCATCCAGGATTGGGGTGAGGGCAGGGCCGCGGGAAGGCCGCGATCTCCAGTCGTCTTCATGGAGGGAGGTGACTTCACTCATGGCTGTAGGGAAGGGACGTGTCACTGACTGCTGGGAGGTCAGGACCTAATGCCAGGAGCTCTAGGGTCCAGCAGTGTTACCACTGCCTCATACACTCTCTACAGGGCCCGAGACTTCTCCCACCTGTTAAGGGATGACATGCAGTGTCCCATACAATTCTCACTGGCCATGGTAGGGAAGGAGGTACCCTGTCCAGGATTTGCAAGCAAGCATCCTTGGGACAGGTAATCCGGGAGATGTGTCCCACCCCCCACCTCTGCAACCCCTCAAACTCCAAGGTTCCTCACCCCTCTCTACACGGCTGTTGGGGGGGCCAGGTCGAGAAGGGTCAAAGTTGGCCAGTTCTTTCTCCATGTAGTACAGGACTCGCATAGAGTCATCCTGCTGGCTGGCCTGAATTCTGTAGCCACTACGGACTTCTGGAGACAGGAGATGGAGGTGGTGAGTTTGGGTGCTGGCCCAGTCCCCCTCCCTTACAGGCATGTCCAACTTAGTAACACTTGGTTCTTACCAGAGGTCACACTGCTGTCTGCATCACGAAGCAGGGGTACCTGGGAGCTACAGCCACCTACTGGGGGAGAATGGCTGTCAGTGGCTGCTCTCCTGGAGCAAAGTCCTGCATTCCCAGCCCCCTTCCCCTGCCCCCAGTCCTTCCTTCCAGCCCCATACCTCTTAGTGCCCAAATGCCCAGCCTATCCCTCCCCTAGTTGCTCCTGGCTCCCCCAGACCTCACCTGAGCTGTTCTTGTCAAAGTCTCCAGAGTATCCATTGTAAACGGTGCCCATAGGAATCATGGTTGCCGGGGGTGGGGTCTTGGCAGGAGAAAGGTAAGCATAGGTGCTAGGGGCGTAGATGCTCGGGACGCCTGAGGTGGCTGCTTTGCCAGCAGCATACACTGGTTAAGACACACAAAGCATGAGATGGTGGCCAGGAGCCATACTGCCCTTCCCTATGATAAAAGGACCAGAGGGACGTGTGCCTTGACCTTCTCCCCATCCCCAGTTGTGGAGCCTCCCTGGGGACTTGGTTTCTGTAGGTCCGTCATCGAGTCCACACCTCCTGTGTGATTCCTCACGGAGCTTTGAGGACAGGGATGTACGCTGCAGCCCGCAGCCCCAATCTGGCAGGACATGTTTTCTTTAGCAGTGATGTTTACCAACATTTGTCGAGGTTTTACATAAAATCCCAACTCTCTAGCCACCTTATCAGAAGAAGTGGCCACCTGGGGCCTGCATTTCACAGAGCAAAGGGAGAAGATGCCCCTTTAGATAAACCCATGTGCTGGACCCACAGGCCAAAACATTCCGTTGGCAGCTGAGTCCCAGCTTTAGAAAACAAATCATCTCGGGGCAGGGGAATCCCATGCCTGCTCCCCTCAGGCCTGCTGGATCCTCGCCAAGGCATCTTCCAGAGCTCGAGGTCATGGGGATTCTCCTAGTGGCTGTACCCACTTACTCTGCCTTCACCCCCTCCTGGTTCTAGGCTTGACAGTTCGAGGGCAAATCCTCCCTGCTGCCTTCCTCTCCAGGCCAGAGGCTGGGTTCTGGCGGCTGCTCCTGCAGCACAGTCACTGCCCAGGCAAGTTGTTTCTTCCCTGGGCTTCTTAACAGGAAAATGGGAGTGGGGGTGGGGGTAGGAGGAATAGGGCGTGGAGATAGGCTCAGAAAGGTCCCTTCGCTGCTGATTCAGTGGGGAAGCAAAAGGCTCAGTGGTCCCCCCAGAAGCCCCCCAGTAGCTCAGGTGACTGGCTGATTTCTAATTTGCTGTGGGGTTTGCTTTCAGATGGCCCAGGAGGGCTGTGGCTGTCACTATAGCTGTGGAGTAATGCAGCCTCTGGTAGGGAATTAATGGGGCCTCAGTTTGGGATAACAGAGATTCAGAATGGAGAGAATTTGCAATCCTGGCCCCGGCCTTAACCTAATTTGTGGGGTAACTGCAAATTTGGTTATAGCCCTTGGGAGTCCCTTTCCACCTGTGAAACAGACTAACATCCACCAGGTAAGCCAGAAGCTCTCAACTAAAAATGACAAGAAAGGTGATAACTTAAGTCCCCAAATAGCAAATTTTTTCCAGGGAGTGTTATTTTGAGGAACCAGTTTGCCCACCACTGAGCCCAGTGACCATAGAATTAGTCGGCATGGAGTGAGTCACAGCCCTGTGCTAGGGACGCTCACAGTCTTCCCTTAATGCTCACGACACCCCCTGAGGTAGGAGAAACAGGCTCAGAGAGGGAACACTGCTCTGAGGTGTGAGTGGCAGGGCTCTGATTTGCTCTCTGGCCCTCGGTCACTACCGATGCTGACAGCAACAATGTCCAATGGCTAGTGAGTGTGGAACACTTCATGTAGGCCGAACCCTGCAGTAAATGCTGGACACACCAGTTTCCCACATTCACCCTATACAGAGGGCTCTGCCACAGTCCCATTTTACAGAAGAGGAGACTAAATGAGGGGGATTTACTGGGCTTCCAAGCAGGTAAGGAGGCAGGCCAGGCCTCAAACCTCCACCTTAAAAAATCGCTTGTGATTCAACTTTTAACGCAGCTTGGACTGCGTTATACTGAAATAATGTGTATAAGCTTTAAATGTAAGTACACAGACATACACTCATCTGGAGTACATGCGTCATTCTTTCCATCACTTGTTCACTACTGGCCTAGAAATGAGCAGGTGTCATGAGAGGAGCAGGTCTGTCCCTCTTTTGGTCTCATGTTCTAGGAGCTCCTCATGTGTAAAGTTATGTTTCTAGCTGTCAAGGTCATCTGTTCATCAACCAAAGATACAGTGATCTTTATAATGATAAAGGAAAAGGTGGGAGTGTTGAACTTACTAAGGACTAGTAGAGAAGTGTGCTTTCATGGCCTATTTTCAGTGCAAGAGACTAGATACACGTATGTATGGCTGAAAGTGGCCCACATAAATGTCCATTCAAAGTTGATTAAAACTTCAAAACAACTGAATGCAGAGGTGCTGGTTTACCCAGACAGTCCCTGCAGAGGGGCCAGGGGGCAGCGGGAGGAGGGACTCACTTTCTTCCTTCTTTCCCCTCCTGCTTTGTTTGCTTCCTTCCCCACTTCCATTCCCAACTCTCCAGGTGCCACTCATGTGCTAGACATGTCTTTAAACATAGTCCCCGTATAAAATCCAAATGGTTGTGTGGATGAGGTTTTTTAATTTGCTTAAATTATGTGATGCTATAAACCTCGTTTGGTTTCTTACCTTTTGACTTAAGATTTTGTTTTTAAAGGGAGATTTACTCTCTAGTGACTGTTTTGTACTATTTGAGTTTTTCTTACCGTGCATATAGATTATACTTTCAAAAAGAAAAACTCAAATGAAGAATCAAAATAAATGAAAAGTTAAAGTATGTAAATAAAAATCTAAATCTGCTGGTCCTCCTTGACCCACTTTCTCCCAAATTGCTCACCTCATAACCTCCAGACCAGTAGCACCTCCTCCCCTTGGACCCAGGCAAGTTGCTGAATGGGGGTGGTCACTCGAGGGACACTCACAAGCCTCTGGGCAGCAGCACTTGTCTGGGCAGCAGGGGCACCGGACGTAACAGCAGCAGGTGTGCGGGCAGCACTGACACCAGCAGATGCCCAGGAGGAGGAAGACAAGGAAGACAGCTAGGCAGACAACAACCACGAACAGCCAGTCTGCAGAGAGATGGGAGCAGGACCTGAGCCAGGAGGCCTGGGTGGGAACAGGGACACAGCAGGACAGTGCAGAGACGGGTGGGCGAAGCTGTCTGCAAAGCTTGTCAGGGAAGCTGTAGCCCTTGCTGGAGTCTCCATGCCAGAAGCTGGGGCGCAGCAGCAGAGGGCTGCCCACTCCTCTACAATTCAGGCCGGTCCCAAAGGAACTCGCCCTGGACTCAGCGGGGCAAGGCAGAAAAAGAGAGGTGACCTAGCCAGAGCAAGACAGGCTGTAGCCTGAGAGAGGGACAGAGAGCCAGCTGCCCAGATCCCAAACCCCAGAAGAACACTACAGGCACCAGTCACAGGAGCCTCCTGCCTACACCCCAGGCCACCCTCAGGCTCCCTGCCACCCCAAAGCCCAGAGCCAGGTCACTAGATGCCATGAGTTGGAGTCAGGCAAGGTTAGTGGGGGTCCACAGCGAGCGGCATTTAGTGGGGGGGGGGAGAATACTTAGAAGCAGTAAGTGGTGTGTAGGGGCCTCCACCCCCGTACCTTCCATGGGCCCCGCCTGAAAACCAGGTAAGAGCTCAGCCACCCCCGAGGTCCTGCCTGGAGGGACAAAAGAGAGACATATTATGCTGGCAAGAGCCAGCCCAGGCTGCCTCTCCCCAGAAGCCCAGCTCCAGGCTTATCAGGGTGAAGGTGTGCCTGGAAGCATCAGATAGGTTGGTGGCCTAGGAGGGTCATAGCACTTGGTTCCTGCCCTCACCAGCCCCCCCACCCACATGGGTGCTGTTTTCCAGAAGGCTTCCATCACATAATTTACCCTCTCTCATGCCTCAGGGGATTCTGTTGCCCAAAAGGGTCCCAGTACATTTCCCATAGGTTCTGAAGGTGTGAACTGAATTTGAGCACTTCATCTTTTCCACATACATGGGTCCTATTGCCCCAAAGGGTTGAACCCATCCCATGTGATAAGGACAGTCCTGGTCCATCAGGCATAATAGGCAGCGTCCTAGGGACCTTGAAAATATTTTTATTTTTAAATCTGAAGAAAAAAAATAATACTACCAAATATATAACAAATGGTTTTTATAGCAAGGTAATCATAAATATATATATATATATCTTTTTTTTTTTTAATGCCTTCCCATGAAGGCAAAAGTGCCTACAGCCCTAAAAGTTAGTGTGGCCCTGGTTCTTTAGTCCATGAGGGTCCCATCTCGGTCCATGCATTCTGTCCCATCTGCAAGTCTCATGGCCCAGCTAGTGCCTTCCCTCAGGTACCATCAGTGATGTGTGCCCACGAGCATATCGCAGGGGCATCTATACACCCAGCTCTCCGCCAGCCTCTACCCAGAGCTCACACACTCCGTGCCACATGCCCCATGAGGGGTTTTCCACCATCCAAACCAGCAGTTCTCAAAGTGTGGTCCTGTCCCCAAAGCCAAACTGATTTTCATAACACTAAGCCATTATTTGCCTTTTTTGCTGTCATTGTGACATGTGATGACACAACATCATCACTTTGATGGTAATGGATTATGTCCTTGTGTATCTTGCTTTAAAAATTTTCCAGTTTCAATCTCTACAATGTTAACCAACTATAGATATAACCCACAGAAACAGAAACAAAAACTCTTTTGAGATCCTCAATAATTTTTCAGAGCATAAGTAGGTCCCGAGACTGCATTTTGAGAACTGCTAATGCAGACTGTACATTTTACCAAGGACAAGCAGAGGTTCTCTGGGTCACTGGTGCATGCATTGTCACCCACGAGTGAACTGTCACATGGTCTGAGCCCCTGCAGCATGCTCCCTCAGCATGTGTGTCCATTCACACATGTTTCCTTGTATCATGCATCTGATGGCAGTGTGTAGCCCGGCAGCATTTCACATATAGACGTCACACGAGACTATATGTGTTGGCTGAGAACAGAGCATCTGGCTAACGGCAACATCCCTTCCACACACGTAAAGGGGCCTCATGGCCAGACAGGGCTGCTGGTGGCTACCCACCCTGCACCTGGGCATTTGGAGGGGCCTGGCCTGAGGGAAGCACTCACTGTATAAGCCACAAAACGCCATCCCAGCAGGCAGAGGGCAAGGTTCCTGTGCTCTGGCAAGGGCCTCTGGGGTCAGACGTGGCCCTGCAGATGTGACAGAGGTCGGTCCAGCTCCCTTCTCAATTACACATACCATCAACTTTCCTCACTCACTGCCAACCAACTCTGACCATTTCTGTATTTTTTAAAAATGAGACAAGAAGAGATCTGGTCCCCCATTCCTTCCACTCTTAGTTTGGCTGTGGCTTACTTGAAATGTGGGGGGAGGGAGTCTCTGCCTAGGGTGCAAGGCACAGGTAAGCCCAAGTGACTGATGGTGCCATGTGGGGAGAGCAAAGCAGGCGACAGAGCCCAGAGGGTGAGCTGGAGGACAGAGGGAGACATGCAGAAGTGGGAGAAGAGGCCCCCCTCCCCTCCCCTTCCCAGGCCCTCAGGGCCCAGCCCACTCACCCAGGACGATGAGCTCTGCGTAGGCCTCGTTGTTCCCCTGGAGGTCCTGGGCCGAGACCACAGAGCAGTAATACACACCACTGTCCCCCCAAGCCGTCTGGTCAAAGGTCAGGTCAGCATCTGTACCAGGAGGAGAGTGTGAAGCCACTGTGGGGAGGCCGGAGCCTCCCACCATGGAGACATCAGGGAATGGGGCTGCAGGTGCGCAGAGTGGCTATGAGACAATTCAGACCAGGCAGTGCTTCCTCTTAGGCTTTGCATTAAACACTTGACATAGGGTACTTGACATGGGGTATTCAAGAAATCTGTGAGGTGGGCAGTGTTACCCTTCCCGGTTCATAGATGAGATGACCTGACCCACCCAAAGTTGTCCAGCTCATCAGTGGCCTTGACTCCAGAGCCAGCAATTCAGAATTGACAGCCATTCTCTGTACCTCTCACAGCAAAAGTTACTGCCCCCACTGTGAACTACCAGGGAGCCTGATGTAGGCCCAGGGCGTGGGCCCAGGGTAAGGGAGCAGAGGTAAGTAGCTCAGATTCTAGGAATCAGAATTCGTGGAGGCATGAGAAAAAAATGGGGTGTGTGTGTGTGAGGGAGAAAGACCTGGACCGTCCCCGTTCCCTAATCCATCCACCCGTCAGCCCCCACAATCCAGGTCAGGCCCAGGGTTTGGGGACGCTCAGGTACGAAGCTGCTCGGGGCAAGGAGCCTGTTAATTACACCAGTAATGAAAGTCCGTCAGCATTTCCCGTTTCCTCTCTATGCTCCAGGCCCTAATTAGTTAAAACCCTTCAGGTATGCACCAGCGTGGGGCAGGTGGGACCGAGCTGGCAACAGGAACACCCACAGCCACCAGCCAGTTTCTTCCCAAAAGCTCTGGCACTCGGGCCTCTGATGACTTGCCTACCACATTGCCCCACGTACCCGCTGCCCTTCTCCAAGACAGTCGAGGGCAGTAACTGTGTGTGCCCCAGTCTGCAGCACCTGGCACTCACCAGGGCATCAGCCACTTGCCAAAGAAATGAAAAAGAACCGGAGCCTTCCTCCTTTGGAAAGAAGAGCTCACATCCATAGACAAACCCTCCTTTCGATACGTCTACCTCCACCACTCCAAAAGCCCTTCCCTGGCCCACAGGCCCTTGGTATGATCTCGCTACCGGACACACCAGCCTCACCCCCACCAATCTCCTTCACTCACTACTCTGGACACTCTGGCCTCCTCACTGGGCCCAGCATGCTGGCCCACACCTGCCTCTGCTTGCACCTGTGCTAGTTCTTCTGCCCGGCTGGGTGTTCTCAGACCCTGGCAGGGCGGGTTCCATTCCACTGGCACAGCTCCCCCGCCCCACTGCTACACTGTATCAGCTAGCTTAGAGGCTGAGCACTCCTGATCCCACCCAGAATGTGAACTCCACACAAGCAGACCCTGGTCTCAGTCACCGCTGAGTCCTGGGTGCCTGACACAGGGGGACTGGGAAATGAACCCCTTCCCTCCTAGCGTCGACCTTCCTTAGCTACCGTAGTCTGTTCCAGGAGTCTAGGTACCTGGTTTTATTCAAATATGCCCTTAATACATTCAACATTTCACATAATTACTGAAAGCATCCTATGTTCCAGGCAGTATCTGAGGCATGTGGTATACTCGACAGCAACAGTTCTCAAAGTGTGATCCGTGGGTCCTGGGGTTCCCCAAGACCTTTTCAGAAGATCCCAGAGGTCAAAACTACTTGCATAATAATACTAAGATGTTATTTGCCTTTTTCACTTAATCTCTGAATGTACTGTGGAGTATTCCAGAGGCTACATGACACGCTATCACAATTTCTACTCAGCCAGACTTCAAGGAGATGAGCAAAATTATAAATCAACAATGCAATTTTCATTAGTTTCTTATTTTGTTTTGGAAAATATGGTAGTATTTTCATTAAAGTATGTTATCAATATTAACTTATGAAGCGTTTATCACTGTCAGCTTAAATATTTTTTTAAACTTCTCTCAGTTTGCTAGCTATAAAAACAAAATTCTTTGAGGATCTCAGTAATTAAGAGTGTAGAGGCCCTAGCCTTAGCCAGTTTGGCTCAGTGGATAGAGTGTCGACCCTCGGACTGAAGGGTCCCAGGTTTGATTCCGGTCAAGGGCACATATCTCGGTTGCAGGCTTGATTCCCCCTCCCCCAATCAGGGCGCATGCAAGAGGCAACCAATGTGTCTATCTCACATCGATGTTTCTCTCTCTCCCCCGTTCCCTTCCACTCTCTCTAAAAATCAAATATGCTCAGATGAGGATTAACAACAAAAAAAGAGTAGAGGCCCTAAAACTAACAGTTTGAGAACCACTGCTATGGACCACAGATATAAACCCCTGCCCTTACAGCAGTCCTTAACTGGGAGAGACAAGTAAAAAAGGTTAAATATATGGCATGTCAGATGGTGGTAAGCAATACAGAGAAAAACAATCAGGGAAGACAGAAAGTGCCAGTGTGGAGGAGGGGGTTGTGCAAGTTTAAGGAGGGTGACCTTCGCAGCAGACATGAAGGAGTGGGGGACACAGCACCCCTCCATGGTCAGGTATCTGGCCACCAATTACGGAGTTTCTGCTATGTGCTGGGTTCCTTTGCACATATTCTTTCACTGAATCCTCATAAAACTCCTAACTACATTCTCCCAAACTTTCTGGACTCTCCAGAACACCATCATTTTCCCAGCCTACCTTTCAAACCAGACTCTGACTACACCTCTCCAAACCAGAGCTCCAGGACAAGTCCCTGCCCAACACTGAAGAGGTGGACAGGAACCCCATGCCACAGCAAAAGCTTATGGGCCAGGAGATGAAATCTGGGCTCCTGTGGCTCACACCCGGGCCTTGACGTGTTTTGTTTGGCTTGCATGATGTTTCTAAAACCCATGAAAAATATGGATTTACAGCTTCTTTTGATCAATTCTAAGGCCTGGGCCCACCTCCTTCCTGCCAGGCGCGCCCTGTTCCCTGTATTATGTCTGATCCTGACACATGGGGCTGGGCATTGCTCCAAGTGTTTCAGGCACAGGGAGAAGACACTGGTATCCAGTTGGAAACAGAAGCTGGGCCTCCTCCACACCTCTGAGCCTCTGGTTCCATATCAGCACACAACTGAGGGCCCTTACAATCTCGGGGGCCCCATGGGCTCTCTGGTCATGTTACTGAGTGGGAGGGTGACACATGGACCCCAAGCAGCCTGAGGTAGAAACAGAGCTCCTATCCAGGCACCCACATCACCCACAGCAGGGAAGAATGGAAGGCGGTGGGGCCCCACTGAGCTGAGACTCGGAGGGTGAACTAACATTACAGTTTTCCCCGAACCACTTTCACTTAAGACCTGATGCTGGTGACCCTTGGGACACCACAGGAAAGTCAACTTTTCACTACTTTCAAGGCTGAAATGAAGGAAGCTCCTATGGCTACTGGGTTTCCTGAGAGGACGTAGATACAATGGATGCCCACAGCCTACATCAAACATGGGCCAGATCAAGGCCGCTTGAAAGACCTGGGCCTGTGAGGCCTCCAGGGTATGAAGAATCTGCCCCAGCTGGAGCCTGAGGGCCACTCTGGAGTTTTGGACTCAGCACGGGCATGATTCCAGCCAGCCAGGCTGTCCCCCCTGGTCCTGGTGGGAGCAGGAAAGGTACAGGACAGGTTAACCCCCAAGAAGCCCTTTGTCCTCAAGAACAGCAGGATGCTTTGGGCTGAACTGCCCATGGAAATTCAGGGCAAGTCGGTCTGGTCTCTCCTAGAAACAGGACTGACAGGCTCAGTACCTGGAACCTTGCCTTTCGTCCATGGTCTACAGAGTGAGGGGAGGAGTGTGCCCTGGCCCTGGTCTCTTGGGGTCTGCAAAGGGACACTCCCTTCACTCCTCTGCCCCCATGCCCAAGACTAAAACTTTAATCTTGTTTTAAGACAGTAAAAGGATAAATCCATTAAATGGGTGAGCCTTCACTCCTCACCCACTGCTTCCCATCACCTTCCTCTCTGCCTTCTATTGATTTCAGAGAGGAAGGAAGAGGAAACATCAATGATGAGAGAGAATCATTGATCGGCTGCCTCCTGCAGACCCCTCCCTGGGGATTGAGTCCACAACCCCGGCATGTGCCCTTGACCAGAATCAAACCTGGGACCTTTCAATTCGCAGGCCGACGCTCTATCCACTGAGCCAAACCGGCTAGGGCTGCCTTCTAGATTCTTTAGGACCCAGTCCCAGTCCCTCCTCAAACTACATTTGTGTAGTTCTTAAGGTGTGCACTCGAGTCACTCCATACAGCACAACATCCAGGTGTGTTTTATTGCAACACTTAGTACTCTCTAATATTCTCTTACTCTTTATCTGATGTTTAAATCTACCTCACCCCACTAGCCTGTCACCTCCTTGAGGGCAGGGCTATCAGATGTCCTGATCACCACCCCATCCCCAGTGCCTAGTACTTGGTAAATGCTCGATAAATACTATCGGAACAGATGAATGAATGAACAACTTCCCCACCACCCCTTACTTAGTCCTAACAGGCACTTCCCATCATTAGGCAGAATTAAGGTCACGGAACAGGGCTCCCAGGGCTCCCTGGGTTAAAATCCCAGCTCTAGCTCTGTGTGCTTAGACGAGCTACTTAACCTCTCTGTGCCTCGGTTTTCGAGTGGAAAATGTGGACGTAAGGACTCAGTGGGAGAATAATGTAATGTGCTGGCAAGTCATAGACCTTCTCCATTAAAATCTCTCACCCCACCCTGGTCAAGCAAAGGAGTTACCAGCTTAGAGACTAGACCCAAAGAGGCTGACTTAGAATCCCAGCTCTGTTATCAGCTCTGTGACCCTGTACAAGTCATGTTGCCTCTCTGGGCCTCTGTAAAACGACAGTAGCAGAATCTACTCCCACAATTGTGGAGTCTAAATGAGTTAATTCCCACAAACCTGGAATTACAGCCTGGCACATAGGAGGTCCTTTATAAGTTGTTACTTATAGAAATTTTACTTACTATTACTGGTAACATTAGTATTATAGAACCCTGCCTCTCTCTCCATTACCCACTCGTCTTTATTTCCAAGCACTTGAGAGTATGTGTTGTATTTATCTTGTCTCCCTCACTGGATTGCGAGCTCCACAAGGGAAAGAATTTAATAATTTTCTTTACTGCTGTATTTCCAAGGCACCAAACAACACCTGGTGTCTGTGAGGTGCTCCTTAAGTCTTTGCTGTTAAATAAAGGAATGGATGGATGGATAGAAGGAAGGGTCCTCCCCTTGTCAGTCATTTCAGTCACTGGTGCTAACGAGCTTCCAGGTGGGGACTCCAGGTTGCACACAAGGGAGCCTGCGCAAGCCGTCCCCAGCCCCATCCCCTGCCTTCTCCCTTGCCCCACCCAACATACTTCCTGTTATGGTGATCCTCCGGCCCTGGTAGTAGTCGCCCAGGGTCACAGCATTGCCCTGCTTAGTGGCTACAACCCTGACAGTGCGCACACTGTCCTGACACTCCACATAGGGGTTGTAGCCCGGGTTACCAGCTGCCAGCTGGGCATTGAGCTGGTTGTCAACACTGGCTGGAGAAAAGGCATCAGCGATGCGGTCCCGGCAGAAAGACTTGTACTTCCAGATCACGATGGGTGCTGTGGGGGTCGTGGTCAACTGGTAGGTGCAGGGCAGGGTCACGGGCTGGAAGAGGATCACCACGTGGTAGGGGTCTGACACAGTCACTTGGATGGCACTGGCAGGAGCTGAGGGCGAGAGGAGAGTCAGGAGGGACCACTACGAACGCTGGAATGTGCTTCAGCAGAAATAAGCAACAACCTTTGTCACCAACTCGACACTTACAAGTGTATGGTTTTATAGAGAGCCTGGCATACACTGTTCCTTAATCCTCAGGACTGGTGGGGCAGCTCTGATAATCATGCCCATTTTATAGACCCGTGGGGCTGAAGTGACAGGTGCAAGGTCAGATGGCCAGATTTCTTGGAACATCCTGCCACCTCTCTTCCCAGAGTGTGTCCTCTGAACCACCCCAGCCCCCTCTTCCCTTGCCCATTCTCTCACAGAAAGGGCTCCTCTCTGTGGCCCATACAGGCAAGTGCTGAAGTGCTGGAGGCCCCACTTCAAAACCATTGTTCCAAATTACCCAACTTTTGTGGACTGGAGGGTTAATTTTGGAGTTGTCTGAACTGCTTCGTCATGGAGTAGGTAAAGCTCAACAATGTCTCCATCAGCCTCCCATCTCACCCTACCCAAAGCCATTTCAAATAAATATGCCCAAAGTGCTTGCAGAAAGATACCCCCCGCCCCCACGTCCCCACCCAAACAAACATCCGATCCAGCGAAAACTTGCCAGCAGAAGATGGTTTCAAACCAAGTCCTTCTAGAAGTCCATCCTACCAGACCCTTACACACAGATACTTCGAGCCTGAGGGACACCCACCAGAAGCCTGGGCACTGTTTCTTGGTCTCGAGTGCCCGCTCCCCATTGCCCCAGGACGCAGAAATGTCCGCGTGCGCTCACGTCTCCTTCCCGGCCTTTCCCGCTGATCGTGTGGTCCCTTCACCCCTGCCCTCACAGAGTTCCATTCTCCTTGAGCTCCAGGGTTTTCGGTCCCGGAGTTTCACTTCCTGCTATCCCCGAACAAGGGCGGGGGACCGCTTCCAACGCGAACCGGAATTCCCCTCACACCGTACACCAGGGATCTCGGAGACCCTGGGAACGGAAGGTCCTGGTCTTCCCGATTCCCCTCCCCCAGCTCTCCTGCCTCCTCGGAGGTGCAGAACTTCATTCATCCCGTTTCTATAATGCCCTCCCGCCCTTCCGCGGCACCAGGGGCCCCGCTCTCCGTACCTGTGCACAAAGTGCCAAGAAAGAGCCACATAAAGACGACCGCGCCCGAACCCGGAGTGCCCGGGTAGGAGCCCAGCACCCAGCTCCGGCCGCCTGCCCCTGGC